CATAAATTTCTTGATTTTTATTTAGTTTTTGCTTTAACGAATCAAAACGCTTTTTCGCAACCTCATAATTAGAATTCAACCCAACTACAGGTCCCAAGTTTTCCTTCCACATCAATCTACAAACATACCTTTCCCCATTAAATTCCAAAGAATTTTCAAATTTTTCAATCAATTGCTTGTCCCATTCAGAAAGTTTTGTTTGCTGACTGAAATTCTTCTATTTCCCAAAATTTTTTCAAATCGCACAAAATTGAAGAAGAGTCCATGACTAAACAAACATTTTCATAATTATTAGTAATTATTATTCCTTCCACTCCCGCTAGTAACCAACCGAAACAAGAATTTATCGCAGTAATGTTTTCATTAACTTTACTCTCTCGTCATAAACAGCGTCCCAAAATGAATCGCATCCGATAAGTATTTCCGTTCTGACAGTCGCCAGAAAATGAATCAGCCAAAGGTAAACCTCTTTCCTTCAACGCATTGCGAATAGATACATCAGGAATTTTCAAGGAGAAATTAGATATATATTCCGTTATGACAGCTTCTAACTCGTGCGATTTCGAACTTTGATCCCTATTGCGCAACGTCAATGAAACGATACCGTATTCCTTCTCACGTGCCATTTTGTCTCCGAAAGCAAAAATAGCTATTTTTCGTAGCGTATTGGCTTTAATTTAATTCTTTAAACTAATCGAGATGAAATAAAACTTCGATGACTACCATTGTCTAAAATAACATTAGTTAAGACTGAAGTTTTATCCGAACAAGTTAAAACTGTACATGTTTGTAAAAGGGCTTTTATTTTGGTACATAATTACTATGAGACACAGAAAGATTCTCGGCGCTTTTATTAGATTTAGATTGTGAGTCATTCAAACTAGTTTCGCTTTCCACTTGCTTCTCACAACCTCTCGTCTTAAACATTACGGGTTTATTTTTTCTACATACTGACTCATGATGAAAATTGCTTAAACAATTTTTACACGATATTTTTGCCCTACATTCGCGAGACATGTGATATTTTTTAAAACAACACTAGCATCTAGCTTCAATCTTTAGCTTATTTATTTTTGTTCTACATCCAATTTCTTACAACTTACGGAATCGTGATGACCGTCACAGAAAAAACAAACAAATTTTATTTGTGTATTTAACGCTGAAGCGGTTGATATATTTTTAGACTTTGAATAGTTTTTCTGATAAGTTTGACCACTTTCATAATTTTGGGAAAAAGATCGTTTCGTAACGTTTTAGGGGGCTCATCACAGTTTCGGCAATTTCCCTAGATTCGACTTCATTCCTCAAAAACGTAATAATTTCCGAAACCTCACAATTCACTTCCCTGTTTCGTTTCGGTGAAAATCTAACACCAAATCTTGTGGGTAGCAAACTTCAACAATACGGGATTCAATAAATGACCATATGAACCCGTTACATTTAATGAACGCAAATTCTTATATTAACTTCTATTTCATCGTATAATTTACGCAAACCCTTAACATTAGACGAACTTCTCACGGGTTCTAAGCTTAATAATTTAGTCATATAAGAATTTATAATAGAATCAGTTTCTACCATATCTTTGTTTTAAAAGCTCAAGACATGAGTCATAGTTTTTCTCATTTAATTCAAAACCCGAAACATTTTAGCAGGACCAGAAAGAAGAGATTTTAAATATTGGAATTTTTCAATTTTTAAGTGAATTGTTTGAACCGATTTGCGCTATCAAAAAGTTTAAGAATCCATAAATTTGCCAGAATCACCACAGAATCGCGAAATTTAACTTTGGTAATTTTAAAGCCGTAACGGTTTTCCGAAACACTAGATGTTAAGAATGAAGAAGTCCGCTGAACATTTTGATGCTAATCCTTTAATTTTGCTTTTAGTTTAATCTTAGCTAACAATTTTGTCATGTATTCTTCCGAAGCTTTTAATACCTTTAAATTTTTCCGGATCGTCTATGGTGCTTACTCTCTAAAAATGGCTTTTCAAGATCTGCTCTTTTTCTAATAGTTCCAGTAGTTCGATAATGAACTTACGTCTTCGACGCTTCATCAAGCTTTCTGCACTCCTTAACTAGTTTAGTGCACTAGCGCGAACGTTATTCTTTTTCAGTTATTTTCGAAGTTATCCATATTAACTCGAAATGTGAGTTCAAAAGGTCTTACCTCCACGTCCAGTGCAATATTGCGTATCCAAAAGCGTGTGTAAAGATCCAAATTCTCAGATATAATCCAGTATGAACAATACTTCCGATATTCCACATTCGCGGATAAGATGCACCAATTTTGCATCAATGGTTCTGTGAGACTAAAGGTGATCCAAGAGTAATAAGAGGTTTTGTTAACAATAACAACATTTATTTACAAGAAAAATATAAAAATTTCAATCAATTAGATAGATTATTAGCATCTCTGCCTTCCACGTCTTACACCTTTAGTATCCTGCCTGCCACTGACTATTAGGACGAACGCAGCGCCCTCTAGTCAGAATGACGGTGGAAATACATAATAATTGCTTTTGTATTAAAAAAGTATGTATATGGAAGGTGTTATTTTTTCCTTTCGTATATAATTATTTAATTGCATATTTGTGAGCTCTAATTACTCCAAAAATTTTAAGTAATGTGTTTCAATGTAGTAAAAGAAATATTGACAGCTGATTCTGTTAGCATTCCAAAATATCGTGTATTATTTTGAACTAGTATTTTCTGATTATTCACATCCCCAAGCCATTCGTGACTTGGTTTAGTGAAAAATTTTTGTTTGCTGATTTTTACAGCTCATGGGTAATGTTTTGTTTGTAAATTATAATAAAGAAGAGACATTTTAAAAGAAATAAGAAATTTTATGAAGTTGGGGAATCTGTATGGCTGATATTTGCATATCTATAGCCAGTGTTAACTGTGTGCGGAATGATGGTTAAAGTGTGTAAATGTACATGCATTCAAACAAGTGTGTTACACACATGCATAGTTAGCTGTTCTCACAATGCTAAAAAATATGTCAAGAACCTGAAAGTTCTACTGTAGATTAAAACCTGGGGGTGCAGATAATCGGAAAGTACTAAAAAATATGTAGATGTTGAGTCACACTATAACCCCAGCTGGGGGTATAAATAACTTAGCTAGCTCTACTTCATTAAAAATAAAATTACATGTGTTTTGGCAGGTGAATTATAATCATCAAAATCTCTAATTTTAAACAAACAGGCATTTAAAGTACAATCACTTTAAATTTATTCTACCTCAACAATTGTGAGGGATTAAATAAAAATATGAAAACATAAAGTTGCCAGCCAATTAGACTTAGTTCAAATACAAATTATTTCCGCAATTGTTGTAAATCCAACGTTTTAATTTAACGTGACTAAATGCTGTATGCTGCTCCTGGATCACAACAAAATTCTTACACATGACTTGTCAAATCTGCATATAATCTCAATCTACAGTGTCCACATCAAGATCAACACTGAAGTCACCAACTGTCTTAAACTTTAATTGGGAAGGCAGCAGTGGACTGCAGGCCAAAACTCTTGCACATATTTCATAATTCCTCCATAATAAAATTGCTTGCCACACAAATCCACATGGATTCTGAAATCAGTGAACCTTCTGACAAAAAGAGGCAGATAACATTTCGTTTGTAAAATTTAAATGTAAATGCCACAACACCAAAGTTATATCGCAGTACAAAGTATGAATATAAAACGAGATGTATAGATGTTAGATATTATTCAAAATTTTACAGAAGCACGAAATTATTATTACTTATGTATGATTTCAGTCTATTACAGATAGTCTGCTCATTATAGGTGTCAGTCTTGATGGTTTGCAATTACCTTACAATAGTATTTGTGTTAGGTAATATTTAATATGATTATACCTTAGTTAAAACTGTAGGAAATAAATAGTATAGGCAGTTATCATACATGTTTGAAAATTTGCATCTGCAAAATGCTGAATAAGCGTATTCAGTCCTATATAGTCCAAGAAAGGTGTGTGTAAAGACCATGTGTCCTCCCAGTGTACCTATCCAGAATGTGTCATACCCGATTATCGACATGGTCAGCAGCCGTGATTAGCTCCAGCATGTAGCAGCGATCTGATACATTGAAACCTGATGTAGAAAATAACTGTCAAAGACTATAATGGGAATAAGAATCTAGCAAACTGTTCTGAACAGCATTTATTTTAAGTATCATGTGGAATTGCCGGCATGCCAGTAAAGTATTAATCTCCTATTATCCATCTTCCATTTTGTCCATGTTATATTTTTTTTTCACATGTCATAGGTTGACATATCCTGTTCATCAGTTTTGTTAAACTCAAGGAAAACACCCGTTAAAGTGTATGTTTAACTTACAGCAAGTATGCTGCTATGGTAGGCAACCAGATTTCACAGTACTTCCAAAACTCTTAACATCACCAAATTAAAGTTTCGCAATACATAATTAGGGAAAAAAAAATTCCATTTTGTTATTGAATTGAGTTGTTAAATATAATTGATTAGTCTTCTTATGTGTGGGGAGTGAAAAGAAAATTATTGTAGTTTAAACTTCTAGTCACTCCCATTATTTTTCTAATGTAAATAACATACGTTTGCATTTTAAAATTGAGTTTTTTCTGAATGTTGAGAGGGATTGTTAAATTATAAGGTCTGTAAATTTTTTAGATTTGTGCAATTTATATTTGATAAATTTTATGTGTGTGTCCATATTGTCCATTTGCATGTCCATAGTATATGAATGTATATTAATAATTAAAAAAATTTTATTTGATAAGCAATCAATTAAATTTTAAGTTTTGATGTTATTTGGAATTCTGATGAATCATTGTTATTTTTGTCTCAAACCTTTTTAAAGCTGTTCTTATAATATTGAATTTTATAAAGTTAGGGAAGTAATGTTTATATGAAGCTGGATTTTTCTTTCATTTAATAAAAATAGTGTTACTTAAACAATATCTTAATTTAAGATGTCTGAAATTTATGTTTTAGGTTATAAGTATTTACATGGGTATGGTTATCAATCTTGTAGATGCTTGGGAGCCATATAAAGCTGCAAAACAAGCTTTGTGTAATACTATAGATGCTACCAATATAAAGGAGCAGGTATTTTTTTAATATTATGACAACTAGATATTAATTGAACATTAGGGTATAAGATAGATTTCAAAATATATATGTGAATGTATTTTATATGGAAAGTAATAAAACCAGAATATAGAAAGTAATAAAACCAGAATATAGAAAGTTTACATTATAATCATATTAGATTTTTGAAGCTGAGCTATTTCACAGAGCCCTAGTGATCTTTCATCTTTCTTCCTTCACTTAGCAATCACTTCTCTCTCTTTTTAGCTCTGAGGGTGTCTTTATATGGAGGATGGGGTTTATTGTAAGATACAATTACCTTTCTTTTGTCTCTGGCTAATCATGGTGCAAAAACTGCCTGTACATTTACAGTGTGTAAGATACTTGTATGGCCAGAAAGGAGAATCTCGGTAACTGAGAGGGCAAAATACTTTCCTTAATATGCTACTTTGGCTTCTGTTTCAGTGTAAATGGGATGCATTTATCTCTTCCTGCTAATGTCAGTTGACTGGTTACTAGTCCTTAGAGTCTTGCAGATAAAGTCTTGCGGTTTCTATATCCTTTTTTCGATAAAGTTGATGGACTTCAATCTTATTGGATTTTGGGGTGGGTGGGGCCTTAGGTCCGAATCTTCTACCTCAGAAATGGCTCTTATACAAAGTTCAAGCAATGACTTGTCTAAAATATCACTTCTTAAAAAACCTAGAACAAATAGAAATACCAACAAAACGATGGAAAATTACATATGTCTAGTCATCAGTAGTGAAAGTAAGGAATTAGAAAGAATGTCACCTGTTCTAAGAAAGATGACATCTGCTGTTGAAAAGTTGAAAAACATGAAGAAAAGTCCCCAGTGACAGGATCCTCTCTTAGTTGAAACTGTAACCACTCAACTGTACATTTCACTATCAAAGGTTACATGGTTCAGAAACACAAAAATTATCATCTTTCCTCATAATAATTTAAGATTTTTGTATGGGGTAATATTAAAACTTGATCTTTTTTCAGTAACACAGGAACAAATAGTTGAAAAATTAAAAGTTCAGTGTGTCTGCTGGGCAAAACAAACAAAAATAAAACAAGATGTTGAATTTATTGGTACAAGGCACACAATCCGTACATTCAGTACTTCAGGTGTACCAAAAGTCATGAAAGCAGGCTATCTGCAATGCCTGGTAAGGCCAAATATGCCCAAATCATTACAGTGTTTTCAATGCCAGAGATTTTGGGCATTCAAGAATCTCTTGCTGTGGCACTCTTCTGTGCATAAAATTCTCACAGGTTGTCCTTCAGAATGATAATAGTAATAATACACCTCTCTGCATAAATTTCAAAAATAATCATCCAGCATTTTTGAGATCGTGTACAAAGTGGGAGGCCAAAAACGAAATCCAGTGTGTCAAAGTAGTAAGAAATGTAACATGTACAGAAGTTAAGAGGATGGTGAATAACACTCAGCCATATTCAGTTAAGTCCGATGTGGCTGCTGTATAATCTGTTAAACCAACCGGCATACAAACATTAATAAGTGCATGCCATAAAGAAACTGTACAAATATCATCTAAAACAATACTCCATTTGAAACTTAAAACACCAATTCAGGAGAAAGCCAAAAGTAAAAATATCTCTACATCTGGGAAAATTGTTAAGAAAATTAAGCATTCCAAACTTCAGATATTAGTCTAAGCTCTTTTGAAAGCCTGTTATTTGATGAACTGGACTCTGAGAATATAGAAGTTGAAGAAGGATTGAATTACCAACACATCTTCCTCATTGTCCAACTAAGCAGCAGCGTTAGCAATATGAGCACTCATAATGGTTACTTTAATATTCTGAAACTGCTGCGATTTTCACCAAAATCTAAATAGTATCAAGCACCTTACTGATCTCCACCATCCTACTTGCTTAGCTATGCAAGAAATTTTCTTAAAACCTGATCTGAAAATAACCTTTGAAGATATTTTTATTTTACAAATGCCAGACATTAGCACTTAAGCCATTAGGTTCACGGGTTCTCCAGTACTTCTTAACAATGTCCTCATACTGAGAAAGTGCAGTACAATTATTTAAATGTTAAACATTCATAGGCTGATTGGAATTGCACAAAATACACTTTGAGGAATCTAGCACTCCAATTCTCTAGAGTTGGTCTCGCAAACAGTCATTGAGGTATTAGGTAGTGAGAAATGACAGCATGAATAATATGGATCATGCTGGTGGTAGTGTGGGTCTGCTAACTTTCATGCATATGTCTTACAGCTGACAACTTCCTTCCAGACAATTGCTGTTTAAGTAGATATAAGCATGCTGATGTTGAAGTTATTTATGTTACAAAAGAAAAAAACAAGGTACTGTAATTTTTATTTTATATATTTGTTTGGCAACATCTCAGAATGTACTTCAACTTCTAGTCCTAACATTCATTCGGAATTTGTTTTTTTTCCATACCAAGCCATTTTTACCAACATAATTTTCATCGATTTTCTAATTCACTATCTAATTCAGTGTCTGTATCACTGTCTGTTGATGAATTATAATTGCTGTAGTGTTCTTCATTTATTAATTCTTCCTTCTCTTCTCTAAACGTTTCATCATCTGTTGAAATGGTTTCCAGCATATTTTTCAACCTTTTCCATTTCTTTATGATAACTTAGATGCCATGCTGATTAACTAAGAAAGTGAGGGTGAAAATCTGAGAGACATGAGAAGGCGTGCGAGTGATTCGCACGTACAATTCTTTCTTAGAAAGTATTCGAAGCCGTACAATTCTTAGAAAAGTATTCGAAGAATCACTCCACGGATTTCCCAGCTTCATGAATGTGACCTTGAATGCAGCTACAAAAGATTTCGTCCATTTACAGGAAAGGGGTTTTGAGATAAGGGCTAAGAATATGCCCTGGCGCGGGTTAAGAGAATAGCGTTAACCCTAACCACGCGATCGGCAAGAATGGCAAAGTATTTTCTCTCCATTATTCAAGTCCGGAAATCATATTTAGTTTAAAGAAAGCCCTAAAGGGAAGTATTTGGTTGAAGAAGACTAAATATTCAAGTGTTTATCATTTTTTTTATTAAAAGTGATTAATGTTATAGAAACGCTTAGAGTAAATAATGGAGATAGGAAAGTTGCATTTGAAGCCATTAAGTGGAGAATCAGATTGGTGGATATGGAAGTATAGAATCAAGTTCGCTTTAAACTACTATAACGACTGCTTGGAAATTGTTGAAGGAAAAATAGTTAACCCAGATCAGCCACTTGAAGGAGCTGTTGAAGCAACTTTGAAGAAATACTCAGATGATCTTTCACGATATAAAAAGGCCAACACTTGTGCCATGATGGTACTGACAAATTCTATAACCGAAGAAACCATGCAGAAAATTATGAGGTTTGATACTGCTAGTATGGCTAGAACTTCATAAACTTTTCGAAGCAACATCTGACAATCAGTTATATAATATTTGTCTACAATTTTTCCTGTGTAAGTGGACAATGAATCATAGTATGGTTGCTCATCTGTCAAAGCTGAAGAATCTTTGGAATGAATTAAATTTAGGACTTCAAAGAAAGCAAGAAACCCAACTGTCCTCAGATGTTATTAATTTGCAAAATTTTAGACACACTACCTCAAGAGTATCATTCTTTTAAGTCAAGTTAGCTGCTTCTTTATGAAGAGAAAAGAACAATTAATGAGTTAACTACTTAATTATGCTCTCAAGAAAGAGAATATAAAGAAGAAAAATCTAAAGGTGATGTCCAAAATCAAGATACATTAAAAGCTAAAGCAAGCAAAATAAAAAGAAATTTTCAAAGGTAAAAGCAGATAGGAAAATGCAACTATTGCCACCAGAGTGGACATTGGATTAAATTTTGTCGAAAATGGATAGAAGATGGAAGACCACCGAAGCCCAGTCAAAATGATAGTCTCAAGAAAAGATGGTGTTATAGCAAATATGTCCTTATTAGCTCTAGATGAAGAAGCTTTCTCATCTGAAAAGAATTGCTATGACTGGTTTGTGGATAATGGTGCTTCAAAGCACATTACCAATAATAGTGATTACTTCACAGAATTTGAAATACCACATGGAATTATTGCTGCAAATGGCAAAATACTACCAGCTGTAGGTAAAGGAACTGTAAAGATTATGACAACAATAAAAGGAGAGAAACAATTCAAAGAACTTGAAGAGATTTGGTTTGTTCCAGGTATTAGTAAAGAACTTATTCTCCATACTGGCTGCTCAAGATAAAAACAAAAATAGTAAATTTGAATCAACTGCAGAAGAATGTTGGTTGAAAATCAAGATAAAAACAAAAATAGTAGATTTGAATCAACTGCAGAAGAATGTTGGTTAAAAGTTGTACTCTATGGTACAAAAAGCATAAGTGGTGGTCTGTATAAAATTCATATGGAAGTACTTGTTCTGAATAACCCAGTAGAAGTCAACTTAGCTGTAAGAAGTGATTCAAATCTGCAGTTATACCATGAGCGCTGGGGTCACCAGGACAAACGTCATAGTAAGAATGTCCTTGAAGAACAGATGGGTGTCAGACTTAAACTAAACAGTCAACTCTGTGAACCCTGCATATATGGGAAAACACTGTCTAAAATTTGGCAACAGAGAGAAGAAAACAAAGGCCGGAGAACTTATCTCAATGGATGTTTGCAGGCCGTTTGACGAATCCTTCAAAAGGTATCGTTATTTTGTAGCCTTCAAGGATCATTTCACCAAATTTAGATATGTGTTTTTCCTTCGCCATAAATCAGAAGTTGCAGAAGCAGTTGAAAATATGCTAGCACATGCGAAAACTTAGGACATACCATCAAAGAGTTGTTAAGCGACAATTGTGGTGAGTTTGATAATGAAAATGTTAGGTGTATTCTAAGACAAAATAAAATTCTTCAAAGATTAACTGCCCCCTATACCCCACAGCAAAACGGTGGGAGTGAGTGAGAAAACAGAATCTTGGTAGAAATGGCAAGAACTTTGAAGAATTCTAATTCTGAAGTTAATTTTCCCTC